AGGAAAGATTTTTAGGCTGTTAAGGGATTAGTTAGGTGGTCTCAGTAATCTAGGCAAGAAATAGGACTAAACCAGTGAGAAAGAAAGTAGGGACACATATTATAAACATTTCAGAGGTAGAGTTGACAGTTGACTTGGAGGGAAGGAAGAGGTCCAGAATAAATGAGAAGATTTAAACTTGTGTGACTGAGATACTGATGGGCAGTATTGATAGAAAAAGCAATGATAAGAAGAGTGGATTTTGAATGATGATGATGAAGTATACAGCATGTAATAGATGGTGAGAGGTGTATGGGTGAGAAGTACATGTTCTAAAAGTAGTAATTTTCAAACTTTTTAATTTTTATTGAAATATACAATAGATTTCTTCCCTTTTAGCATATAGTTCTATGATTTTGACAAGTACACACATTCGTGTAACCAGTACCACACAAGATAAGAGCAGTTCTGTCACCCCGAAATTCCCCCATGCTCCTCTGTAGTCAACCCTTTCCTCCTCCTCCATCTTCTTATAACCACTGATCTCTTTGATGATCCTCTAGTTAAAACTGTGTTTTAGAGAATCCTAGGGACCACCACAAAGTAGGATCTGATGATCAAGAGGGCTGAACGCCAAGCCCCCCAGCCTTTTGTTCTCACTTTACTTCTCTGTTTTGTTTTATACATTGACATTCCACTTAATATTTATTTAATATTTGGGGTGCAGTGGAAAAAAACTACATAGCTAAATATTTGAAAACCGTGATTCTACAGTGCTGCTTATACATCTCTGTCTGAGTTACAGCTATCTCTTACCTGGATTGTTGTAATAGCCTCTGAGTAGGTGCCCCTGCTTTGACCTTTGCCCCCTGTTATTAACATAGCTGTCAGCATGATTCCTTTACAGTATGGATGAGATCATGTCATTCTTCTCAAAACCTTACAATGGCTCTCCCTTTAATAAGAATAAAGGCAAGTACTGAAAGATTACGTAGAAGGCCGTGCATTCTCTGGATCCCCTGTTAATTCGCCAGTCTTCTGTCTTCCCACTCTCCTCTGCTCACTCTGTGCTAGTGACCCTGGCCTCCTTTCTGTTCCTCAAACAGGTCATCCATATGCTGTCTTTAGGACCTTCGCCTTACCTTTTTTTTTTTAAATCAAGGTAAAATTCACGCAACATACAACTAATCACTTTAAAGTGTCCAACTCTTGGCATTTAGTACATTCGCAGTATGCAACCATCATCTCTGACTAATTCCAAAACGTTTTCATCACCCTCAAATGGGAGCATGTATCCATTAAGCAGGCACTCGCCACTCCCCCCTCCCTTCTTTCTCTACCTCTTCTCTCCTTCCTCGCCACCTCAGGCAATCACGAATTTGCTTTCTCTCTCTATGGATTTACCTATTCTGGACATTTCATATAAATGGAATCATACAATATGTGACCTTTTGTGTCTGGCTTTTTTCACTTTCGCATAATGTTTTCAAGGTTCACCTACATTGTAGCATGTGTCAGTACTTCATTCCTTTTTGTGGCTGGGTAATAGTGTATTGTAGATATACCATATTTTGTTTATCCTCTCATTTATTCATGAACATTTGGATTATTTCCACCTTTTGGCTATTGTGAAAGTGCTGATATGAATGTTCATGCACAAGTATTTGTTTGAATACATGTTGTCATTTCTCTTGGGTATATGTTACTAGTAGTGAAATTGGTGAGGCATATGGTAATTCTATGTTCAACTTTTTGATGAACTGCCAAACTTTTTTCCATAGCAGCTGAACCATTTTACATTCCCACTAGCATGTACCTTGGTTTTTACATCTTCATGTCCTTCCAGTTTTTACTCAGACTTCACTTTCTCAATGAGATCTAATACCCAGACCACCCAATTTAATCCTGTAACCTGCCCCAGTACCCCCCTTGCCTCATTAACATTCCCCCCCACCACTTGCAAGTTTCCGTAACATGGTCTCTTTTTTAGGCACATGCTTACTATTTCATTATACTTACTACCTCTGAGACGTAGAAATTCTTTCTTTTCCTCTTCCCTAAATGATAGGACCTGCTCATCTCAGCAGTCCATCAGACACCTGTCAGTGCAAGGGTATGTGTAATTAGTTAGAGAAAAAGTGAATTTCTCATGTTCCGTAAAACTTGATGCACAGTGATTGAGAATCCTGCTTTATCATCAGCTGAATAACAAGGTTACAAATTCATGATCTGGAATTATTTTGTTGATTGAGTTTCCAGTAAAAGCTTCTCATGAGTATAGCAAATTACACACAATTTTCATACTTGAAAAATACTCATTGTATTTTTCAGCCTACCAACATTAACCTATATGGGTGGGTATATATTGAATTGGAATAGCATCCTAAAATATGTTTTTGTTAAACATGGCCAGGGAAGTCTCTTGCCTGTAATACAACTGGAGTGTAGGGGATGATGGTCTTCCAGCTGATTCCCTCTCTCTTCACTGATGGAAAGAGCAAGAGAGTGCATCTTTCAAGAGATTTATTCCATAGAGCACTAAGACTAGCTATAATCTCATAAAACATGAGGAGTTCAGGCTGGTGTCTAGGCTCAAGTGTTTTTCTGCATCCCTGCACCCACCTTCACATGTGGTTGGAGAAGCAGACGGAGAATTCTTAATAGCTTTCACCTTCAGTTTATAATTTCCTTTTAAATAGGTTTCCTGGCACAACTGTCTTTGTTCTTAGAAGCTCAACATTTGATTTGCTCATTTTCCTTTACATTTTTTCCATAATGCTTTCTTCTTTCACCTTGGGTTTTAGAAGCCATTAAGACCATTGTCTTTCCAAAAACATTCAGTGCTCTTATTGCCAGTTTCCTGAAGCAATGAATATTCTCAGTAGTCAATGTTGTCTATGAATTATTTGGCAGGGAAGTTTTTGAATACTTTGAGGTTCTGAAGTAAGAGATGAAAGTTTTGGTTTGAGTGTCTGAGTGCTCTTTCTGTTAAATCTAGGTCTCAAAGTAGGACTTAAAAATAGTTAATGAATTTTATGAAAAGGGAACAGAATTGATAGAAAAAACATTAAAGAAACTTCCCTGCATTTCGGAAACAGAGGGCAAGGCCAAGGACTGATTAATGCCTCCCCAGTCAGAAATGTGGTCCAGGTGGGAGTCTGCTTTCTGGATAACAAGAGAAGAAGCAGGAATTGGTGGGCCTGTTCCTTCAAGAATGTTTGTAACATATTGACAAAGCTCCCCCTAGCCCGCTCAACAGAGAGAGTACTTAATCAGAAAAAGAAGAAAACTGTCTTCATCATTTTCTTAAGCTTCATTTCATGGTTCCAGTATCTTTTTCATACTGTTTGAGTATCTAATTTTTTTTTTTTTAAGATTTTTATTGGGGAGTTGGGGGATGGGAACAGCACTGGGGAATTAGGGGAAGGGGAACAGACATGTTGCTGTCCTTTTGTTCTTCAGTCTAGCTGTGGAGGACGTTGCTTCACTGACCCAAGTTGGCACCATCATTTGTGCTCTTCCCAGGCGAGGCAGATCAGTCGCCGGCTTCTGGACCGCCGCTCATTCTGGCTGCTGGCTACACACGGTAGCCCATGGCAACCCACTGCAGCAGGGGCTGCAGCCTACACCGCCGCCGGTGACTCACGGCAGCCCAGCTCCAGGTTGAACTGTTGTTCAGCATCTTAGCTGTAGAGGGCAGTGTCACTGGCCCTCATAAGTGGGATCCGAACCGGGGCCCTCTGGCATCCCAAGCCAGCTCTTAACCAATGCGCCACTCGGCCGGCCCCTTGAGTATGTAATTTTTTTTAAAAGCAGCAGTGGATTGAGGTGATAGACAGAATTAATCTCTTTGTTTCTCTGTTCCCATAGAGTCTTCATAATTTTGCCTTGGAGTCTATTTGCGCCCATTTCTGACTCACACTAGAAATCTCTCTGTACACACAGATCCATTGATAATCCTCATATCTTCTCATAATACTTTGCGTGTAGTAGGCCCACATTGAGACTGGAATTAAAGAAAATAACAGAGGCCATGGGAACCAACTGTATTCAGAGAGGCTGTTCTCTTCCCTATCACAAAGCACTTGAGAAAATTAATTTTTATAATATAATAAAAGCTCCTTAAACACTCCAGTTATTATGATTCCGGGGTAATTATATAGACATTTGGAGGGGGGTTGGTTTGTTGGGTTTTTTATTTTTTGCCTCAAGGAACAGACCAAAGTTTTAGTTGTTTGCGTTTGATGAGATGAGTTACAGGAAACATGAAATATGATGCACTGTGACTGTTTTTCTTGAGTGATCATTCTTTAACAGAAGCAGACCTTGGGAAGATTTGTTTCAAGATAGCCGTATACTAATAGGTAGAAACAGAAATGACTATGAAAACCAGATGTGGTGTCTGGGCCTCACTTCAGAAGCAGGGTTTCAGTGTTGGCATATTTCATTTTTCGCTTGTTTACCCACACTGATTAAAGGGCATTTGTCTAGTGGTGTGCACAATTGCTGAGTGCAGTACTCATTTGCATGCTCTTACCATCATGGTTTCTACACAACATGATATTTCTGTTGGCAATTTAAGTTTATTACTTCAGAAATTGTCATATTGGAAACCCAGGATGTGAGCAATATTTATTTTTATTTAAAATTACTAGGGGGATTTGTTAGACAATACCTCGTTTCCTGACATTGGCAAGAGGCTTTGCAGAATTTCCCCCTAATTTTCAGGGACATATTTGTGTTACATATACATCGTAACTTGTTATTATCGTAGGATTTTATTTGCTTTAATTTAGAAAATTTCAGGCTTATTTTATTTTGCCTTTACAGGACTCTAATCTCTTCTCCTTTGAAAATTTCCAAAAGACCTTATTTGTGGCTCCGATTCTAGACTGATTCGGTTTGTTTTAGAACATAAACCATTTAAATAAGGGGAAAGAAAGAATTGATGATATAGTTTAATTTTATTCTGCTTTAATACTGTGTCGTCTAACTCATGTTGTGGTACATCTTTCCCACAGGTTCACATCCAGCTTTCAGAATGGCACCGTGCCATTTTTCTCCCACAAGCATGGCTGGCATATATGAGTCGAGCTTATCATGCTATTTTACAGGTAATGAAACCATAGGATGGTTTGCTTCAGGCGAGTGTCTCCTTCTTATCTCAAATTTTACTGCAAAGATGTCTTTAATATAAAAGCACTTAGGAAAATAGCACTATCAAAAATGCAATGGTTATATTTGCTCATAAATGTACATAACTGCACTTAAATTTCAAATGTTGATGTTCCCCCACCCCCAACCTCTGTCCCATCCAGAGCTCCCTCCTGAACTCCACTCTCCTATATCCTGCTACTTTCTGAACATCTCCTAGATATGCCACATGTCCCCCTTGGATGTCCTATGGCACCTCGACTTGAGCGCGTCCCAAATAGAGCTCATCATCTGCCTTTGTACCTGTGCCGCCGCAAGCTGGACTTGCTTACATCGCCAGCCTTCTCTCATAACCCTTCCTCTGAAAAAATTCAACCTTGCTAAACTCTTTTGTTTTCCAAACCCAGCATGTCTCTCCTGACCTCTTGACATTTACACACTGTTCCTTCTGGCACAGGTACAGCCATTCCCTCTTTGCCCACCTAATTTCTACTTGTTCTTTAGATTATTTTACCTGGAAACGCACCTGTGTGCCTCCACCTCGCACCGGATTGTATGCTGTGCTTATGTGCTTCCTTATAATCCACGCTTCTCTTTGTGAAGCCCTTATCACCTTAGTTATTTGTGTGGAACCTCATATTAGTTGTCTCTACTCTTTAAAGCTAGGAGATCTGTTTTCTTCTCTGATGTTTCTCTAGAATCTGATGATAGTGTCTAAAACATAATAGGTGCTCATTAAATAAATGAATTCTACTCAATTTGACTTCATTTAATCCAATAATATTATAAGTTGTAGTTTGAACATTTTTTTGTTTGTTTTTTAAAGATTTTATTGGGGAATTGGGGAAGGAGAACAGCCAAGTTGTTGTCCTTCAATCTTAGTTGTAGAGGGCGCATCTAGCTCAGCTCCAAGTCCAGTCGCCATCCGGCCGACCGTCGGCAGCTCGTGGCTGCTCAGCTCAAGGTGCTGTGTTCAATCCTAGTTGCAGGTGGGCATAACCACCATCCCATGTGGGAGTCGAACTGGCAACCTTGTTGTTAGGAGCATGTGCTCTCACCAGCTGAACCATCCTGCCACCTGTTGGCAGCATCACTGGCCCATGTGGGATTCGAACTGGCAACCCTGTTCCTCAGAGCTTGTGCTCTTAACCAACTGAGCCACTCAGCCAGCCCAAAGTTTGTAAATTTTTAAAATTAGAAATAATTTTTAATCAGTTTGGGAATATATGAACAGTTGACAACTAACAATTCTTTTTCCTAGCTTAAAATTCATATTTAAGAATAATAGAAAAAATCTGATGGTACTTAAGTAATTGATGGCCCAGCATAAGATTTTCATGGAGTCTCTGGAAGGGTGATGTCATGGTTAAAGGTAACAGCTGTCCTAAAAGATGGTAGTAGGGAAGGCGGGTAGGCGGAATGACTAAGCATCAGAGCATTGGCGTTCTCATCTTAAAACCTTGTTGCAGCACATTTTATTGAGTTTAGAATTTATAAAATTACTGATGCATGTTCAGAGATTCTGAGTCATTAGAACTGAGTAAGAGACCAGGAATCTCCATGTTTACCAAATTGTCAGGTAATTTTAATGCAGCTTGTCTATCCACACTCTGAGCAACAGTGTTTTATTCATGTGGTTCCCCAAACCACACTGGACTCCGCATTTTAAAGGTGGTCCCTTGGAACTGGGATCCTTTTGTTCAGCTCACACACTTTTTTGTCCTCAGCTGCATCTAGGCAGTTTTGAATAGAATCGTGAGTGAATACATGCATTACTCAGACACACCCTTCTCACACCCTTCACACACCCTCTTTATTCAAGAAGAGTGAGATTGCAAGTTAGAGTATGCACTTTTTCTCACATTTATTTTTCCCTTCATAATTCTGAAACGTTTTTCTTCACAAAACATTTATGGAGTACTTTTTACTGGCCAGGCCTTCTTCCAGGCGTGTGGGTGACAAAGGGGACTAAACCACCCCTTCCTCTCAATGAGCTCCCAGTCCATGAGAGACTAGACTGTCCACTAGCAATTCCAGCACAACATCTGTGACACTTTAATAGAGGATGTGCAGGCACCTGGAGAAAGCAAGAATACTTCCTCCTCCTGCAGAATGAACTGAGACTTGTTCTTTGCCCTTAGCATAAGGAAGGCTAAACTGGGGCCGGCCGAATGGCTCTGTTGGTTAAGAGCGCGAGCTCTGAGCAACAGAGTCGTTGGTTCGATTCCTACATGGCCAGTGAGCTGTGCCCAAGCTGAGCTGCCAACAGGTGGCAGGATGGCTCAGCACGTGCTCCTAACAACAAGGTTGCCGGTTCGACTCCCACATGGGATGGTGGACTATGCCCACCCACAACTAAGATTGAACACTGCACCTTGAGCTGAGCTGCCCATAGGCAGCTGGATGGCTCAGTGGTTAGAGTGTGCGCTCTTAGCAACAAGGTTTCCGGTTCAACTTCCGCATGGGATGATGGGCTACGCCTGCCCGCAACTAAGATTAAACATGGCACCTTGAGCTGAGCTGCCGATGGGCAACCAGATGGCGACTGGACTTGGAGCTGAGCTAGCTGTGCCCTCCGCTACTAAGATTGAAGGACAACAACTTGGCTGTTGGCTGTTCCCCTTCCCCAATTCCTCAACACTGTTCCCCTTTCCCAATTCCCCAATAAAATGTTTTAAAAAAAAAAAAAGCTAAACTGAACAGGATTATGGTATAACTAATGCAGATGACTTGCAATTGATTAGGAAAAGACCCTCCATGGTTTTTACAATAAAAGCTACTATTTATTGAATAACTAGTGTGTGTCCAACACTTAACATATATTATTTCAGTTAATCTGCGCAGGAACCCTTTGAAGTGGGTGTTGTTAACCACATATATAATGGGATTATGGATGAGGAAGCAGGATTAGCTAGGAAAGCAAGGCAAATGGTGCAAAACCCAACAGTCAGCACAAAAGAACTGGAACTTAACTGGGTTTTTTTTTTACTCCAGCACCTCAGCCTTTCCCACTGCGTCCTGTATTTTCCCTAACACATAATGTTGCACATTGGTTATAACAACACATAATGCAAATTGCTTTAATATTTTAAAGGTCCGATCTATTTCTGAAAAGCCAGCTGAGTATTTTTAGTATCACAAGTCAATTATTCCGCCTTTTTACTGTTGTAATAGTGTACATCTTTGTTTATCATTTAAGATGTCTTTACTTTGGAGTTTGAATAAATCCGCTTCCATTGAGAACTGGTGATAAAAGAAGTGAAAAAGCATAGACTATGATAAGGGTTTCAGTATTATTTGAAAGTACTACAGTGCTTTTTAGGCTGGTACTATTACTTGAAGGTACACTGATGCATTGTGACTGTTCAACAAGTTTTTAAAATGAGTCCACACTTAAAATTTATGGTATCTTAGAAGAATTAGAGCAACTGCCACACTTCTTGTCCCTATTAAGAATTTCTGTCCTGGAGGATACTTCTGTACAGGAGTTAAAGTTACTTCCATCTGGTGCTAGACACGTTTTCTAGCATTAAAGGAGAGAACTATTGAGAGGAGCCATGTTTGATTCAATTAAACCTAGGAGACATGCTAAAAGGTACATTCTCGGTTATTTCCTGGGGGTTGATTATGTTGTGAATAAGTATGAGATCTGAACACTGCTAGCAGCTTTTGCTTAGGCATCTGCTTTCAGCCTTATCTGATTTTTCCACAAGATGTGGAATTTTGAATTATAAGTGGTTGACATGGGGAGAAATTTGGATTTCTTCCCATTAAGATGAAAATGAAGATAAAGTTGACTGACAGCTCAGAGTCCATAAAGGATCCTACTACAGCTGTCTTCACCTTGCTGCTCTTGTGGGATGCTGAGGACTTCAAGTCGCCAGCCTTTGTGTAAAGGGCTCTTAGGGATTGAGAATATGACCTCCAACAATAGAGAGAGAAATTAAAGCAGGTTCACTACAGACACTTGTTTTCTGAGTCGGTCAGTTAGCTGCAAAATAGACTGAAATCAAAACCAGGGTCAGGAACTGTGACCCCTAGTAAATTACTCTCTGACCATTTGAAAGGGTTGTTGGCTTATTTGTTTGTTTTTAACATGTAGGTTTGGAAGTAGGTGAAACTGCTCACTATAATCAGCAAGGTATCGGTTATGTAGGCTGGAGATTAAAAAGAAAAATAAGGAATAGCTGGATTAATCATTGGAACCTACAGGCAGTCCATAACTCTGAATTCGGGTGATCATTTCAGCCTTTTCTCTCTCCATGACTGTTTTGCCCCTTAACCACAGCTGTTAACCAGAAGCAGAGGTGACTGTGTTGAATGAATGATGCTGGATCTCTGTTACCAGTAGGCAGAGAATTGGAAGGCAGAGTGGATCTGGCTCAATAGCCTTCCATGGACTGGGTGGAAGGGGTTCCAGAAGGGGATTGAGAGGAAAAGAGACTCTGAGAATGGAAACATAAGAAATTTACTTGGTCACTGTAGAATGGTTATACTTGTTTATGGCTACAGGAGAGATGAGAAATGTAGGCCTTTTCAAGAGGTTGCATGTGTACTAGTTTTTTTGTGTTTATTTCTAAACAGATTTTAACCTTTTAACTTCCTGTTTCTTATCATGTTTTCGAAGAGCATTATGGAAAGTAAATGTTTTAGGAGTAAAGAGGCATAATTTAAGAAGCATAACAGAGACAGGCAATAAAAATTACTTTCTATTTTGCCAACCCTCCTGGGAGGCCAATATCAATATTACATATTGATATCAATATCTTGCCAGTTTGATCACCTTTGACACCTTGGTCCAAGAGACAGAGGGGAAGATGAAAGGGCCAGAATTGTATCTTTGAAAACAGGGAGTGCGGATGGATACGATTGACATAAACAGAAACTATGAAGGATGTGAATAGAATGCCTAGCAAATCTCGAAGTGCCTGAACTGGTGAGCCCCAGAGCATTGTGGGATGAAGGCTGTGCTATGTACAAGGACTCCTTAGACTGATAAAACAGTCCTTGTCTTCAATGAGCTCACAGGCTAGTAACCGTCAGTATATGAGAGAAATTCAAGGACATGCAATTGAATAGTCTGGATATTACATTTGGTGGGGGGAGGGGAACACCTTTTACATTATGAGAGTACACAGATGAAAATGTGAATTACTTCAAGAAGGATTTTGATGTATTCGTGAAAGATCATTTTATAAGAAGATAATAAGAGGAGGTAGGGTTTTTTTGTTGTTATTTACAACAAACCTGGTAATGGTAGCTATTATTTGTAATCAGGCACTATACTAAATAGATACTTTTCCACATTATTTAATTTGATGCTCTAATACCATGAGATAGTTGTTTGATTCTGATCCCAGAGCCCACATCCTTAACCCACCACATTATATTGCTTCCCTCTCTAGAGCATGTATAGAGAGATATATTTTTCTTCTGTAGAACATAGCTTAGAACTCTATAATCAGTAAGAAATAGACAACCAATAGAAAAATGGACAGAATAGGAAACCCAAATAGTCAATAAACATTTGAAAAGATGCTCAATCTCATTAGTAAACAGTGAAATGAAAAATTAAAACCATAATAAGCACCATTTCACATCTGCAAAAATAGTAAAAATTAAAAAGCCTGACAATTTTAAACATTGATGCGGCTATGAAGTAACTAGAACTCATACTTCTAGTGAGAATTGTTAAGTTGCACAACCTCTTTTGAAAATGGTTTGGTATTACTCAGCAATATGATATGCAATCTAAGTTCTTGTCCAATTTAGGGTTCATCAATAAACCAGTATTTTAATTACATTTAAATAATGTAATTGGTGATGAAGTAAAGAGAAAGCATCTGATCAAAATAATCACAAGTATTAAAAAAATAATACTATTTGAAGGCCTTGGTCTTAAAGGGATGATACTAGCTATATTTTTTAGTACATGGTAGAAGTTGAGAATTCTGAGAATTATGAAATGTATTTTTATATGATCGCTCAAGAAATAGAAATGTAATATGCAGCTGTTTGAGAATAACTTTTGTTATATATTATCTGAATCTTAAGTGTTATATCCTTGTCCTACTCATTTTGTATCATTCTGTTATAATACTGGTACCCAGACCCCAATCTTGGAGTAGAATCAGTTAAAATTATCAGCTGCTGACACAAACAGATCATTACCATGTAGGGGACATTTTTTCTTTTTTTTGAATGAGGACTGTGAAATTAAAATCTGCTTTTAACGTAACAGGTAATCCCAAAATGAAGTGCTGTGCTCTAAATTTGCCAAACGAACAACTTGTCTTGGATGTACTTAACTTGGTAAATGTAGAAATACCTGAGCAGTGATGTACTTATATCCCCTCACAAGTCCTCTTTCATAATCTAATAGCCTATCAGGAAGACTTAGGCCAATTGGGAAAGGATACATCTATTATCTAAGTGTTCTCCAAAGAAACTTGAAGATAATTTTAGCCATAGAGTTTACATGCTGATTTATGCTGTTGTTTTTTGCAGGGAAGAATAGCAGAGCTGGAGTTGCAGCTAAAGCATGGAAAAGAAGCAGCTGAGGAGGTGCAATACAAAAAAAGCACAGCCTGGCTCTGGTAAGGCAATGGTTTCATGATGTCATGGGAATTGAATGATGAGGGAGACGGTGACTACTCTAAACACTTTAATGTTGGGAATTTTAACTTCCATATAAGCCTGACGAGGATCAGACTGAGATCTCATAGGTGTGTTTTCCATCCCCTCCTCAGGTGTAAGAAGGAGAGCTTTATTCATAAATTCTATGTTTTCTTATTATTTTCTAAAGCAGTGTAGAAATGGTTTGTTTTTTCCTTTTTCTCCTATAACTGATTATTTTATATGCTCTTGAATGAAAAATTCAGTTTTTCCCACTCGATTCATTGCCTTCCTACCTCACATTTAGTCAAGGAAGACCCTTCCACTCCCCTGCTCTCCCCTCCGCAAGACATCGTCAGTATTAGAAGCTATTTTACTGTGTCAAGGCTTTAATTTCTTTGGCAGACATCCCCTAGGGAATTCACATTATATTATCTAGAAATGTGTGAGTGCTGGCACATTAAAAGCATTTAAATTGTTACATGGGTTGGGATGAATACCTTGTCAGATTAATGTTGCAGCAGCCCAAATCTAAGTGTCCAGAATCTAAATAACTTTGCCTGCAGCTGCAGGTTTCTTTAATCTAAAAATCTGTTCAAAGATTACTTGATTTTACATTTTTATTTACCGACAATTGGCATATAAAGAAAAGCAGAAGCTGTGTGTATGTGTGTTTAACTAATTCAGTGTCATTTTCTACATTTATTTTGAAAATAGCAATGCAGTTCAAACATTATGACATTGGATTTAAGATTAGTGATTAAGAATTCGGATTTTGCTTCCTATTTGCTATTATATTTTATATGTCATTTTAATCTCATTACCTGAAAATGATCGTTTGGTGGAGGTAGTTTGTTGGCTATGCTCTCCAGAATATACACATGGAGTGAAGGATGTGAGAAAAAGATGGAGGCCAAGGATAACTCCAGTACTTTAACTCTAACTAACTAAAAGTATGGCGTTCCCATTTACTAAGATGGGGAAGAGTATAGAAAAGCAGGTCTAGAAAAGGTAGGAATCATTTGGGGGACTTACTAAGTCTGAGATACCTAATTAGATCTCCAATAGGCGATATGGAGTAGGTTGTTGACCATATGAGTCTAGAGTTCAGGGGTGAAGTCAGGGCTGGAAATATAAATTTGAGAACCATCAGCATATTGACTGCATTTAAACTCATATTGCTGGCTGACATCACCTAGGGAATGAATAAAGATAGAGAAAAGGTCAGAGGACAGCCCCAGAGCACTTCAACATTTGGAGGTGGGGAAGCTGAAGAAGGAACCAATAAGGTGCACAGAAAATTAATGATCAGTGATGTAGGAAGAAAACCGCGAGAGAATGGACTCTTAAAAGCCGAGGAAGCAAAGTGTTTCAAGAAAGGAATGACTAATTGTGTCAAATGCTGCTGTGAGGCTGCAGAAGATGGACTGAGAATTGGGAATTAAATTTGGCCTCTTGAAAGTCATTGGTGACGATGACAGGAGCTGCTCTGTTGTTGTGGGGACAAAAGCCAGATTATAGAAGGATCTAGAGAGAGTGGAAGGAGATGAACTGGAGTCATCAAGGATAACCTACCTTTTTTTTTTTTTTTTTAGATTTAGTTTTAATTTTTTTTTCAGTTAAAATTGACATTCAATATTATTTTATATTAGTTTCAGGTGTACAGCATAGTGGTTAGACATTTATGCAATTTATGCAGTGATTCCTCTGATTAGTCTGGTACCCACCTGGAACTATACACGTTTGTTGCAACATTATTAACTATATTCTCTATACTGCTCTTTACATCCCCGTGATTATTTGTAACTACCAATTTGTATTTCTTAATCCTTTCACCTTTTCACCCATTCCCCCCAACTGCCCTCCCATCTAACAACCATCAAAGTGTTCTCTGCATCTATGAGTCTCTTTAGGCTGCTCTTTTCCATGAGTCTTGATATATGAGAAGCATTGAAATGGGGAAATAGCTGGAAGGCTTTTTCTTATTTTAAGATGGTAAATATTACAATATGTTCACATGCTAAGGGGGGTAATACAAGTAGAGAAGGAAAAATTGGTGGTGCAGCACAGAGAAGGGAATAGATGAAGGAACCAGTCCACAAGTGGAAGGTTTGACCCTACGGAGAAGTAAGGCAGGTCATCATTTACAAATATTTCACACTGACCAATAAAATAATACGTTAAATGCACTATACTTCATCTAGGAAGACTGAGATTGGACAATACATTTTAGAGAAATTTATTATCAAATAGTTTTATAAAATACAAGTTTAAGGGCTATAGGAGCAGTTTGCAACTATCTGAAATACTTAGCTCTTAAGAATGGCTCTTTCTCAGAGAGTGCTGAATAGCTAAGATGTTATTATACTTCAAATGCAAATTTTTATGAGTGCAAATATAATTTATATTTGCAAAATATTTATAAAAACTTTGAATTTATAAAACACAAATATTGGGTTGTCGGAAAAGTCATGACACATTATTGCAATGAAAAACATAGAAAAAATATGTTATGACTTTTCCGACAACCCAATATATAGTGAAAATGTCTGTGATATCCTTTACAAACTGTAAATTTGGCAGTCAGTGATTGTTTTTCACTTTATCTCAAGGCTCTTATATTGAAAAAATGTTTTTATTCTGTGAATATTTGAAGTAAGGACACTTTTCCTTCAAATTCTCAAGTGTAATTATTTCCTTTTAGCTTCAGAGTGATTTTCTAATGCACATTTTTAGTTTTATATACACACATAATAATGACTCCATTATCTACAATTTGGAAATAGTAAATTGCTGTTTTGGTCAGCTCTTGTGCAAAAAACAAATGTCTTAGCTCAGGCTGCTATAACAAAAATACCTTAGGCCACATGGCTTCAACAACAAGTTTATTTCTCACAGTTCTGGAGGATGGGAAATCCAAGATCAAGGTGCTGTGAGATCTGGTACTGGTGAAGGCCTGCTTCCTAGTTTGCACATGGCCACTTTTTCCTTGTGTCTTCACATGGCAGGAAGAGGGAGACTTAGTGAGTTAGTGAGTTAGTTCATTTGTTCGTTGTCTGGTGTCTCTTTTTATAAGGGCACTAATCCTATTTATGAGAGCCCCACCCTCACCACCTCCCAAAGGCCTCACCTCCAAATATAATACTACACCCTGGGAATTAAGATTTCAACATACGACTTTTTTGGGGACCCAAACATTCAGACCATAGCAGAGAATAATATAAAGGACTGTGTGTACTAGCCAGTCATTTTAAGAGATGACACCATGACAGTACTGCCTATATATCCCTCTTCAGGTACATGCACATCCTTCTCTGCCTCCACTAAGTGACCTAAAGAACAGGAAGATAAAACTGTTTTTGAAGCAAAGCCCTTATTACAACTCTTTCACCTTACACTAAAATTCTACCTAGATAGTTTTTATATCTGGAGTCATTGCTAGAGGTTCTTATTAATTGATGAATAAGCACAAAGATTGGGTTCTTGTTCTAATAAATTCTCATACCTGTTTTCTTTCCATCATTATTGCAGGGTCCGAGATATGTTGACTAATGAGATCACCAAGTCAGCTGCAAAGTAAGATCCATTTATTTTCTTGCCAAAAATTTTCTATAAACCTTTTTTTTCCTAGCAGGTACATATAATTTCTCCTTTTATGGTATTTCATAACTTTAAGAATTTTAAAGGCCTTTTCAATTATTTTTAAAAAACCAGTTGTTATGCTTTCTCGTATTAATTCTTGCTACATGTCTTTCTGTGGAACTGCAGTGATCAGTATAAACACATACTTTCACATCCAGAGTCTACTGAGGTTGTGTCCTTGTTGTACATGTAACAACATGCCCTGTGCTGACTTAGATTTTACAAGTTCTAATTAGTTTGTGGTTGGGAAGTACTTGCTAATGTGAATTTTGGGGATTCTACAAGCAGATTATTAAATCTCAACTGTGAGCCAGCAAATAAATCACAGTAGTACTTCTTTTCATTCCCTTTGTGTTACTGGGTCTAGAGCAGCGGTTCTCAACC